TAATTTTTTGTATTTTTAGTAGAGACGGGGTTTCACCATGTTGACCAGGATGGTCTCGATCTCTTGACCTCGTGATCCACCCGCCTCACCCTCCCAAAGTGCTGGGATTACAGGCATGAGCCACCACGCCCGGCCCCACTTCAGGCATTTTTATCTGTTTTAGCTTGATTGATTTCTGTCCATAGAAATTCCCCAGACACACAGAAAAAGTGTGTTGTCAAAACCTCACTGAATATAAATCTCTCTATAAAATTATTTGGCAACCAGAGAGTATCTACTTGGGTTGCTTCATTGTCCAGTTATGAGAAGGATAACTTAAAGCAAAGAAAGGAGATTTAATTTCTTTAAATAATTTTTAAAAGAGGATCGATTTACCTGTCTCCAGACAGGTAAAACAAAGTTGACCTCAAAATCTTAGGATATTTTGAGAATATGAAGATAAGTATGGGCTCTCTGATACATAGTAGCTGTTAACAAGGAGGGCAGATAACTGATTTGTGTTTTAAAATGCTCTACTCTTTATGTGATTTTAGTCAGGGAACCCAGACATTTTCATTAGTAATGTTGAGTTTTCCTGCCAGAATGATAAGCTCTCTCAGGACAGATTCTGGTCTCTTTTATTCACTGCTGTGTTAGCATATAGTAGACACACATTTATTTATTTGTTTGTTTTATGTTTATTTTTAATGGAGACAGGATTTTGCTCTTGCCCAAGCTGAACTGCGTAGCGTGATCGTAGCTCACTGGAACCTCGAACTCCTGGACCTGAGTGATCCTCCCGCCTCATCCTCCTTAGTAGCTAGGACTACAGGCATTCACTACCACGCCCAGCCAATTTTTAAATTTTTTATTTTTCCTTTTTTTAGAAACAGGTTCTCCCTGTGTTGCCTAGGCTGGTCTCAAACTTCTGGGCTTCAGTGGCCTCCCAAAGTGCTGGGATTATAAGCGAGAACCACCACATCCGACCTTATTTAATTCACCAAGTAAAGTCTAAAAAGAGAATTTTGGAAAATATAAAAATCTGCATCAGTATTATTCAAATTTTAGTGCAAAATCAGACTTTGGAACCCAGTCTGAAGGATACTGCATTTAAGGAGACTTATTGTAGTGTGAATATGTGAATGTAATCTTCAGCACAGAATCAAATGTGGTCACTGAAATCATATTCCTACACGATTATGAGGTGGATGTTCAAGTAACTCAAATTATGCTTATGAAAATAAAACTAGTGTCTTAAAACCTCAGAGAATCTCAAATCTGTGAAAAGAAGTCATTAGATCCCAGTTTTAGAAATGCAGATTTAAAATAAGAGTTCAAAAATCTCTTTCACTTTATTGTGTTGATGAGAACTACAAAAAGAAACTTTAGATTTTACAAAATAGAAGCAAGTAGTAAGATGTGGAAAAAAGGAAAAGGAGAAACTTCCTGTGCAGACCAAGGTACAAGTGAACTCAATGTCAGAGGCTCACAGAAAAGGAATATGTGTGCATCAATTACATTTGTGGTCTAATATATTTGAAATTCCTGTCAAAATTCAATTATGAGCCGGGTATGGTAACACTTTCTGTTATCCCAGCTACTTTAGAGAGTGAGGTGGGAGGATTGCCTGAGCTCATGAATTCGAGGCCGCAGTGTGCCTTGATCATAGCACCTGTAAATAGCCACTGTATTCCCGCTTGGGCAACATTGTGAGATCTGGTATCTTAAAAAAAAAAAAAAAGAATTCCACTATGAAAACCCAATAAATTTCTTCTAACTTTAAAAGGAAGAGATATATAGTAACTTTAATTTTTCCATGCAAACCTTCCTTTAGTCAGATAATTTCTGATTAGCAGCTTTCCTCACATTGTGTAAAGGATCAGAAAATTGAGTCTTACAGCACCTTTTCTGACCACCGTCCTGAATAATCTTAAAGCATGTCACTTACCTTCTCTGGGCTGTGCCTTGGTCCTCTTAGCTATACAGTGAAAGTGTTAAAATTATAAATACGTATTGAAATTGAATTGAAAATTTAACTCTTGGATTTTGAGACTAACATCCTACTTTTTAATACTGTCTAAATGAACATGTTTCTAAACACACAAGATTATAATTTACAGTCAGATATAAACATTTGTTTATTGCTGCAAAGTTTCATTTTGATGTCTGTCATGTTACTGGTATGGTATTTGTTCTATGGTTTGGGTAAAATGGATGTGTTTGACACTACCTTGCTACATAGATTGTTTATCCTGAAGTTGTGTTGCCTTTTTGTTTGTTTGCCAGAAGGAAATTTGTCTGCTAACAATTCCAGACGAATTGTGGCGTTAGATACACAAATTTAGGTAGTCTTTTGTCTAGTGATTGCATGATTTTCTCTTTTTCTATAGGCCTTCATATCTCCAGTCACTAAATACTTGAGTGCTTACTATGTGGAGGGCTGTCTGCTAGGTATTAGATGTTAGGATGAATAAAAGAAATGTCGCAAAAAAAAAAAAAAAAAAGAAAAGAAAAAGAAATAAAAGAAGTGTTGTATACAATTCCCGTAGTCCAAGAGCCTAAAATCCGCCTGAGGCTTGTATACATACATCAATAAGTTAAAAAACTGGACAAGACAACACAAGGGATGGAATGGAAGATGGTACTTGATTAAGTGTTATTTGCCTAAAGCAGACTATAAGTGTGATGACTTCAAAGGAGGGAAGAATCTCATCACCGTCCATACTGTAGTAGTTGAAAGACCTATCTAGACTTGGAATTCATGAAAGCATTCCCTCTGAGCCAGCTGCTGCATTCACACTTGAGTCAGTTAATCTGATGCACTGCAAAACTCATTCTCAAGTCCCACATTTTTGGGTGTTCTCCAAAAATTTGCCTCTTGAGAGTTGGCTTTAT